TTTTATCACCTGCATATCTCAGGTTGTTAATGAGTCTTCCTCCAACCCTGATGCCACGTTTTTATTCATATAATCCAACTTCTCGGATTATTTGCTCAGCACACAGATTGAATAAGTATGGTGAAAGAATGCAATCCTGGCATACACCTTTCTTAATTTTAAGCCATTTGGTGTTCCCTTTTTCTGTTTGATCACCTGCCTCATGATCTATGCACAGGTTCCTCATGAGCACAATTAAGTGTTCCGGAATACTCAGTCTTCTCAATGTTGTCCATAGCTTGTCACAATCCACACACTCTGAAGCCTTTGCATAGTCAATAAAGCACAGGTAAACATCTTCCTGGTATTTTCTGCTTTCAGCCAAGATCCATCTGATGTCAGCAATGATATTCCTGGTTCCAAGTCCTCATCTGAATCCAGCTTGGACATCTGGAAGTTCTCTGTCAATATACAGTTGCAGCTGTTTTTGTGTCAAAATTTTACTTGCATGCAAGATTAATAATATTGTATGATGATTTCCATATTCTATTGGGTCACTTCTCTTTGGAATGGGTACAAATTTGGATCTCTTCCAGTCAGTTGGAAGTGGAAGACACCAGTTCACAGATGAATTAATGCCTCCAGTGCTGCATCAGTTTGTTGAAATATTTCCAGTTGTAGTCTATCAATTCCCAGAGCCTTTTTCTATGCCAATGACTTCAACGCATCTTGGACTTCTTCCTTCAGTATTATTGGCTCTTGACTATATGCTACCTCTCGAAATGGTTGAACACCCACCATTTCTTTTTGGTGCAGTGAGTCGGTATTCCTTCCATCTTCATTTGATGTTTTCTGCATCATTCATTATTTTGCCCATAGAATCCTTCAATATTTCAAGTCAAGGTATGAATTTTTTCTTCAGTTCCCTCAGCTTGAGAAATGCTGAGCATGTTCTTCTCTTTTGTTTTTCTAACTCCAGGTTTTTACATATACTTGACTTTGTCTTCTTGAGCCTGCTCTTTGAAAATTTCTGTTAAGCTCTTTTATTTCCTCATTTCTTCCATTCGATTTAGCTTATCTACACTGGAGAGCAAGTTTCAGAGTCTCTTCTAACATCCATTTTGGTTTTTTATTTCTTTCCTATCTTTTAATGACCTTTTGCTTTCTTTCTGTATGATGTTCTTGATGTCATCCCACTACGCTTCTGGTCTTTAGATTTTAGCATCAAACACATTATATCTGTTCTTCAGATGATCTCTAAAATCAGGTGGGATATGTTCAAGGTCAAATTTTGGATCTCATATATTTGTCTTAATTTGTTTCAGCTTCAGCCTGAACTTACATAAGAGAAATAGATGGTATGTTTTACAGTTTGCCCTAGGCCTTGTTTTAGCTGATGATATGGAGTTTTCCACCGTCTCTTCCCACAGAAGTCCATGCTGTTTAAGAAAGGTATTTGCAATGGATAAGTTACTGGTCTGGAAAGTTTTCATCATGCAATTTCCAGCATCGTTTCTATTACCAAAGCCATTTTCCCCAATAACTGATTCTTCCTCTTTGTTTCCAATCTTTGCTTTCCAATCACCAGTAATCATTAATACATTTTGATTGCCTGTTTGATCAATTTCACACTGAAGTTTTTGGTAGAATTTTTCAATTGTATCATCACTGACTTAAGAGATTGGTGTGTAAATTTGAATAATAGTGGTATTAACTGGTTTTCCTTATAGGTGTGTGGATATTATCCTATCAAGACAGCACTGTACTTCAAGATAGATGTTGAAAAGTCTGTTTCCTGATGAATTTTTCCCCCAGCATAATAAAACCTATGTTTGTCAGATTCACAATGGTCAATACCAGTCTATTTCAGCTCACTAATGCCTAAGCTATCAACTCTGATGTGTTCCATTTGATTTTTGACAACTTGCAATTTTCCTAGATTCATACTTTGTACATTCCTTGTTCCAATTATTAATGGATACTTGCAGCAGTTTCTTTTCATTTTGAGTTGTGCTCCCTCAACAAATGAGGGTCCCAAAAGCTTTACTCCATCAGCATGCTCTTCAGTGTAGAGAAGCTAAATCAAATGGAAGAAATGAGGAAATAAAAGAGCTAAACAGAAATTTTCAAAGGGCAGGCTCAAGAAGACAACGTCAAGTATGTGGTCAACTACTTTGAGGAGACAGCTCTTCCCCAATCATCATTTGAGTGACTTCCAACTTGAGGGGTTCATCTTCTGACACTTATCTGGCAATGTCCTAGTGCTGTTCATAATGTTTTCATCTTCCAGCACAATATCTGACAGTGTTCCACTACTATTCATAAGGTTTTCAGTGGTTAAACATTCATAACTAGTCCACCTCTCCTTCCTAGTCTGTCCTAGTCTGGGAACTCGGCTGAAATCCACCCACCACAGGTCACTCTGATAGTATTTAAAATACCGGTGGCATGGTTGCTTGCATCACAGTGCACGTCAGCCACCACACAGTGTGTTGTCTGTTAGTACAACAAACTGACAGATGAGGGTTAGAATGAAAATACCGAGAACATAAATGATAGGAGGGTGTTGAAAAAAATGGAACTCTTAGATGCGGCTTGTAGGGATGTACAAGCTGGTGCAACCACCTTGGAAAACAGCTTGGAAGAATCATCTGAGGCAAAAAATCATGTGTTTTACAACCTAGCTATGCTAGTCCATTCCAAGGAATAAACCCAATTGAAATGTATACATATGATCACCAAAAGGCACAAGCAAGAATATTTGCAGCATCAGCTATCTTATCAGCCAGGACTGGAATCTACCAAATGACCATCAACAGTTGTTGTTTGGTATCTTTAAGTTAACTGTGATCCCTGGTCACTCCAGGCAAATGAGTAGAATTTCCCCAAGGATTTCCTAGACTTTCATCTTTTTTTTAAAGTTTTTATTGTGAATTGAGTGAAAGTTTACAGGGCAGATCATCAGTTTTACATTCAACAAATCATATATATACTTTGTTTCATTACAATGATTATAATCCCCTCCATGTACCACCAGTTAACAGTATTTCTCTCTACTCATTTTAGCTCTCCTTTTTTTTTTTAAAAAACATTCAGGCATGTATAGTAATTTAAACCACCAAAGGGCACATTCTGTAAGTCTGCCTCCTGGCCACCAGCACACAGCCTTTCTCTTTCCATGAGAGTCTTCCACTGCTCCCTCTCTCCATGTCCTCCTCTCTGCCTCCAGCTCTGGTGTCGCTGCTTCTCTGGATTGTTGTTGTAAAGCACTGTGGAGTTGGTTCCGACTCATAGTGACCCTGAACAGGGTTTCCGAGGCTACAAATCTTTACCAGAGCAGAAAGTCTCATCTTTCTCCCATGGAACAGCTGGTAGTTTCGAACTGCCAACCTTGAGGTTAGCAGCCCAACTCGTAACCACTATGCTACCAGAGCTCCTTCTGGATAGGGTTCCACATTCTGCTTGTGCTCTTCTCCCTTGATGGTCCTAGGGTCCTCTGTTTCTGGACTGTAAGATTAACTACCCTCCCCTTTTTATTACAAAACTTCTACCTTTACAGTTGTGACAGTCGCAATTAGTCATGATAACAATTACTCACTATTGAATCATAAGAATCCTATCCCCATCTTTTTTTTACCAGACCCATCTAAACAAGATGAAAACTATTCAGTGGGGACTCTATCTTCACCCCACCCCCATACTCTTAAACTAAACTCCCTCTTGAACCTTTTAAACTAGTCAATTCATGCTTTCATCGCCCCTTCATTTTAGGTAACCGTTGTCTAAGTTGCCTGTCCCTATCTACCCTATGTACAGAGGAAATAGAATTGATATTTGATGTGAAGACTCCTTCACTCTCTGTTGGTATTTTGAGCTATTATCTCCATGAGTATAGGTCTAGTTCATCAAATTGTAGCAATTTAACCTTCGTTTCCTTTATCAAAAGTTGTAGTGTTTTGTTTTTAGGCTTTGATCTTTACGGAACAGATGGCCAGGACTTTCCCCAGAAGAGCTGTTGGGGGTTCGAACTGCCAGTATTTTGGGTAGCAGAAGAATGCTTAATCATTGCACCATCAGGGTATCAACAGTAGAAAGGAATAAGTGACTTTGCTACATTCACATCATGGAATTAAATAAAATGATGGAAACGAAGGAAGTACAAGTACACACCACATGAATAAATCCCACAAATGTCATGCCCAGAGAAAGACCAGACATACGGTAGCACACAGCATGTCATTTTGTTTACATAACGTTCTAAAGTGGGTACCAGTGTTGCAGACCGTGTAAACCTGGTCAGAAGTTCGAGGCCCTATAGGCCCGAGTGTTGCAGGCCGTAGGCTCTGAGGAACAGATTCTAGCCACCTAGCACTCATAGCAAATTGTTTTTCATCATAGTGTTCAGTAATGTTTTACTAAATGCAGACATGAAGCCCTGATATCCACAGATAAATGTAATATTTTCCTAAAAGCCAAGACTGTAAAATTCCAAACAGGCAAAGTTCTTCCCTCAGAGAATACATTCAAAGTAAATTGGGTGGCTCCCCGTCTCTGTTCTAAGGACAATAGAACTGCTCTCCCTAAAGTGTTTCCAGGTGCAGCCCATTCACCCAGGCGCCTCTTTTCCTGAAGATCCTGGGCTAGGCAGCCAACACAATGGGAATCCTCCTTTTCCTCCCCCATTTGAGGCTAGGTGCTAAAAGGTATGTTAATTAAGCTTGAGAAACCTAGTTGTGGTCGTGAGATTCGAACCTGAACCTTCAAAGTACTATGTAAAGCTGCCTGAATGTCTGGAAAAGTAAGATTGACAGCTGTACCTTGTCTTAGTCCCACCTAGCTTTGTGTATAGTTCCTCTCCTAAATAAAACGAAGGCGCAGAATGAATCCAGGTGCATTACGACTGGCAAGGAAGGCGTGTGTTACAGCTTGCAGGAGGCTCAGTCCAGCCTTGCAACCATACTGCCTGTTTAGCCAAGATGTTTACTATGCAGGATATTACGGCCTTCGTGGCTGAGATGTTTGCAATGCAGGATCTGCCTGATGCCAGTCCAGCATTCCCTCTGGTTTTGGGGTGCCTCTTTGTCTCTCTCTTTGTCTCTTTCTGTGTATTCTTGCTATATCTTTACTGCCGCCAGGTATCCCTCCTCGTGAACCAAATTCCTATGTCAAGGCAAGTCCCCGGCATACCAGCAATCTATAGAGTTGTTGTTGTTGTTGTTAAGTGCCTTTGAATTGGTTCTGACTCATAGTGACCCTGCATAGGGCTTCCAAGGAGCAGCTGGTGGGTTTGAACGTGCTTATTGAATAGCACCACCCCAAAAATCCATCTATAGAGTTAGGGTTCAGGATAGTGGCTACCCTGGGGGGCACCAGGACAGGCAGGGGGCCCTAGGGGGTGTTTGGGGGCCGTGCTGTTGTTTGCGATCATAAGACAGGCATTTCCATCTTCACAGAGCTGTGCTCTAACAACCCTGAGCCCTTTTCTCCATGTCCACCACACTGCACTGTTGTCGTTGTAGGTACCATTTAGCCAGCTCCGACTCACAGCGACTCTGTGCATAATAGGCTGAAACACTGGCCTTGTGCCATCCTCACAGCTGTTGAGAGATGCTTGAGCTGATTGTTGCAGCTCATTGAGGGTCTTCCTCTTTTTCACTGACTTTTACTTTACCAAGAACAATGTTCTTTTCTAGAGACTGGTCTCTCCTGGTAACACACCCAACATGCATGAGACGCAATCTTGTCATCCTCACTTCCAATGAGCTTTCTAGCTCTTCTTCTAAGATCAACTTTTTTACTCTTCTGACAGTCCATGGCACTTTCAATATTCTTCACTGACACCATGTTGTTTTTAAATGTTATTCAGTCAGTTCCCCCTTACGGCGACTCTGTATAGGGTTTCCGAGGAGTGGCTGGTGAGCTTGAACTGACGACCTTGCGGTTCAAACCAGCCTTGCAGTCCAGCACATTAACCTGCAGCACCACACCAGGACTCTACTGATGCCACAGAAAACTCAAACTAAATGCTAGCACATAGGCATGATCGGGTTCCCCCTGCTTGTGCTGAAATGGGTTTGTTGTCAGGGGGCTCCCTCATCATCCTGGTATCAGCCAGAAATGTCACCTTTTTCTAGTGCTCCTGATAGCACTCTGGAGCGCTGATGGTTTTGCTCCTGTGTTCTCTCCTTGAGCTGGGAGACCCTGGGAAAGCTGATGTGGGTGGGGAGTAGCCACAGAGGGGAGTCAGACTCTGCTCCTGTGTTCTCTGCATGCTTTTTTGGTGTGGTGGGAGGGTTACCTGCTTACTTGGCTCTGCTGCTTGATTTGCATCTGTCTCACCTCCCAGACTGCGAGCATGTGAGGGCAAGACCTTATCTGTTTCTAGAACGTTCCTGATGCAGAATGAGAGCTGGAGAAACCCTGGTGAGTGTTGAATGTTGAAAGGACTAGTCAGACGTTTATCAACAGGACAGAGGAGCGGAACTGTGTGTACCCAAGATGGGCTCTGGGACCAAACAAAACCTTCTCCCTGAGTTGGGAGACCCTGGGAAAGCTGATGTGGGTGGGGAGTAGCCACAGAGGGGAGTCAGACTCTGCTCGGAAGCCAGCTGTTATCAGCTGCTCCTGACTCAGTGACGTAAGCCGCCTCATGCACAATGGACTAAAGCACCGCCTAGTCCTGCACCGGACCCCAGATAGGCTGAATATGGGCCTGCTGAGATCCACAGGGCTTCCATTGGATGATTTTGGGAGTAGATTACCAGGCCTTTCTTCTTAGTCTATCTTAGTCTGAAAACTTTGTTGAAACCTGGTCAGAATCACAGCAACACACAAGTCTCCATGCACAGAGGGTGGAAGCTGCTCAGGAGGTGCACTGGCTGGGGACTGAACCTGGGTTCCTGGTTCGCCTAATGAAAGCAATAAGAAGTCATCAACATTCGTTTTTTAAAATAAATGACTTTATTAAGTTTATTACATAAGTATGTTGAAGACAAAGATGTCAGCTTGAGGACTAAGGTGCGCCTGACCCAAGCCATGGTATTTTCAATAACCTCATATGCATGTGAAAGCTGGACAGTGAATAAGGAAGACCGTAGAAGAATTGATGCTTTTGAGTTATGGTGTTGGAGGAGAATATTGAAAGTGCCACGGGCTGCCAAAAAACCTAACAGATTAATGTTGGAAGAAGTGCAGCCAGAGTGCTCTTGGAGGCCATGATGTCCAAACTTTGTCTCTCCTACTTCAGAAATATTGTCAGGAGGGACCAGTCACTGGAGAAGGATATCATGTTTGGTATGGTGGAGGGTCAGAGAAAAAGAGAAAGACCCCCAGCGAGATGGATTGGCCAAGTGGCAGCATCAATGGACTCAAGCGTGGCAACAATTATGAGGTTGGCTCAGGACGGGACAGTGTTTCGTTCTGTTTTACGTAGGGTCACTATGAGTTGGTACCAACTCGATGGCACCTAACAACAATAACAACAATGTACTCATTAGAAGGATACTGTTGGCACAGTGCTTAAGCACTTGCCTGCTAATCAGAGGGTTGGCAGTTTGAACCCACTAGCTGCTGAGCAGGAGAAAGGTATGGCAGTCAGCTGCCAAAAAGATAAAACCCTCTGAGACAGTTCTACTCTGTCCTATAGGGTGGACTCAATGGTAATGGGCTCACTGGAGAACATTTTAAAACCACAGAAAGTCAGAAAGAAGAAAATCAATATTCCTGATAGTCTCCACCATCCAGCGATACCCAATACTGATATTTAGTGTGTTTTCTTCCAGTTTGTTTTTCCCTACAGAAAAGCAAGGCTGAACAAACACCTGAAGAGAATGAGTCACCAGGTTGGGGGGCTCAGCACCATCATCTCAGGGACCCCAAGGTCAACTGGTACAATGTAATCCACAAAGAAAACGTTCCACTTTCTACTTTGTTTGAGTAGTGACTGGGGTCTTAAAAGCTTTTGAGTGGCCATCTAAGGTACAACTATTGGTCTCTCCCTGTCCCAAACAAAAAAGAATGAAGATAATAAAAAACACATGGAAACATTTTATCTAAAGAACTAATGGACCACACGAACCCAGAAGTAGACGGTGCCCGGCTTCTACTACCAACCATTCTGAAAGGGATCACAATAGAATGTCCTAGAGGGAGTAGGAGAAAATGTGGAACAAAATTCAAAATTATTTAAAAACAAAACAAAACCAGGTTTACTTGTCAGATGGAGACGTGGTGGAACCTCTGAGCCTATGGCCCTGACACTGAACTCACACTTACCCTGTGTCTGATTTTCAGCCAAACAACAGGCAAGTAAGTCTACAATGTGAACCATTACACTAGGGAAGCACGCACACGGTCCTTAGAGCAACCAACTATTTGAGTCCAAAAGGACAGCACTTGACCAAGGACACAGTTCAGAAGACAGGAAGGTTTAGGAAAGAAGGAGAAATGGAAACAGGAAACACAGGGAGGAAGTGGGATGAACGATGTTACCTTGTGAGGATTGCTGTCAATCATATGAAATAGAATGTGTAGGAACCGTTGAGTAAAACTGATTTGCTCTGTAAACCTTCACCCAACTTACGACAAAAAGTAAAAAACAAAGCATGGTTGTAACTGGGATCACGGAGCAGAGGTGTTTAAGGAGGGAGACGCACACTCCACCAGGTGTAGCAGAAAGATGTGCTTACTGCAGGTGGGTTGGTTGGCAGCTGGAACAGGGGTCCAGTCAGCAGAGAAGTGACTGGGCCACAGAGATCAGGAGGATCAAGTCCCCGGCAAGGGGATCCCTAGTACTTCCTAGGGGTGGAGTGCACAGACGGGGGCTGGAGGTTGGGAGCTGGGGACTGGAGAAGGCTGGGGTGAAAGTAGAAGCAAGTCCCAGACAACTAGGGAATGATGTTCCCTGGAACTCAGGGAGAAGGAAGTGGTCTTAACCTCCTTCCTGTCCACCAAATGCTCAGCAGGACATACGGGTGAAAGTTATCACATTGTCTCTCAGAGCCATGGCCAAAAGAGAGGGCTCTGCAGCCAAAGTAATGTGTGGATGCTCACCATCACACGCAACCAGGAAGGCCTGCTCTGCATTTCCAAGCCCAGGATCAACAATGATAATTGGACGTGTCATCAAAACCTTGAGCAAAGAACTAACACATGATCCAGCAATCCCAACCCCAGGCGTAAAGTCAGAAGACGTGAAGGCAAGGATGCAAACAGAAAGCATTATACCAATGTTGATGACAACACTTTTCCCAGCAGTCCAGCAGTGGAGACACCCAACATGTCCATCACTAGGGGAATGGATAAGCATAGTATACGCATACGTACAATAACACACTTGCTGTTGTAAAGTGCCGTCGAGTCAGTTCCAACTCACAGCGACCCTGTACAGAGTTTCCGAGGAGCAGCTGGTGAGCTTGAACCACCAACCTTGTGGTTCAAACCAACCTTACAGTCCAGCGCATTAACCCACAGTGCCACACCAGGACAATGACGTACTTTCGTTGTTGTTGTTAAGTGCCATCGAGTCGGTTCTGACCCATATCGACCCTGTATAGGGTTCCCGGGGAACAGCTGGTAGAGCTTGAACCACCAACTTTGCGGTTCAAACCAACCTTGCAGTCCAGCGCATTAACCCACAGTGTCACAGCAGAACAATGACATACTTTCATTGTTATTGTTAAGTGCTGTCGAGTCGGTTCTGACCCATAATAACCTTGTATAGGGTTTCCAAGGAGCAGCTGGTGACTTACTACTAAAGCCATAAAGAGAAATGAAGTTCGAATGCAAGTCACAACACGGATGAACTTTGAAAACATCATGCTGTGTGAGATACTTGAGTCACATCAAGACAAATACTCTACGGGCATCCCTTATGCAAAATAATCATATGAAGATCAAAGCTGAGTAGTGGTGGCAGCAGAGAAGGGGAGTTTTTGCGCATGGGTTTCTGTTCATGGTGGAGGAATGATCTGGAAAAGGAGCTTGAGAAAGGTTTGCAGCACATGCGGAACCTAATCAATGTCACTGAAACTGCTGAACTGGTGAGTGCTTTGTTGTGTATATTTTCACCACAATGAAAATTTTAAAGATAATAATAAAAATAAATATCATCAAAAGGGCCACACAGGATGTGATACCAATGAGCTCAGAGTTGGTGGCCTGGCCAGGACGCCAAAGCTTGTAGGAAGGCTGTCTGAGGTTGTGAGTCCACACATGCACAGAGCCTGAGTGGGCAGTGGCCCCTGGCATCCAGGCCCCGCACACTTACGCAGTCAGGAATCCATCCCCTTTGGAATGCCGAGGGACTCATAGTAGACCCTGCCTGGGCCCAGGCATTCAGAGTGTTATCAGCAGATAAGGAGCCTCCGCTGGTCCACTAATGGTATTATTTTAGGGAGCACTCCGCAGGAGATCTGTCATCCTGTCCTTCAACAACACCCTAAAGTGGGGTGAACAAAGACCAGAGTGGGAGAGGCTCCATGGTGCCAAAAACCTGCCTCCTGAAGGCAGCGAGGCAGGCAGGAGTAAAGCTGCTCTCTGGCCGAAATTTGTTCTGTCCCCTCCTAACACCTCCAGGCAGCCCCCGAAGGCCAAGGTAACTGACCTCCATGTGTTGGGGAAGCCTGCGCTGGAGGCTACGGGCTCATGAACTGACTTTTGCTAAAATCTCCTAAATACAGATCGGCCTGGAGTCAGTTAGCAAAGGGCAGAGTTCAAACATGTCGTTCCTCTGTCAGCTTCAGCAACTGAAACCATTTTCACTGTGCATTTCTGTAACTTTATTAAGCTGGACAAGCATGACGGTTCAGACCATTTGGTAAAGGAGCACCTGAGTCCTCACCTTCACCCACCTCCCCAGCTCCCTTCAACAGGAAGACCAACTTCTCTTTGGGATTACAGCCTGTGGTTTGGGGACTTGCTGGTGGCCTGAAAGCGTTAACAGGGTGGGTTGTGGGTCACTGACCTCTTCATTTCTTCAGCCACCTCCTGTCTTCCAGCAAGAAAGCAGAAGAAACACTGCAGGGTTCAGAACGAAGGTCAGACAGAAGACCACCATGCCCCTGGCACTTCTATAGCAGCTTTCCCAGGATGGTCTCAACGTGCTGCCCAGGAGCCATTGGAGGAAGTGGCTGGTGTCCCCTGCCCCCATCCCATCGGAACCTTGTTTGGAAGGAAGACATGACCCGTTATTGGGCTGACTCCTAGGTCATTCTGTCGGGAGGTATACAGTCTACATTCCCGTCCAGGTCAGTTGTCCAGAGAGTCCATTGGACCCTTCCCATCTGGTCTCCATCCTCCCCACCCATTCCCGTGGACCTCACACACTCTGACTTCCCTCTGGGCTCTGCATACCATTGGGAGACTATTGGAGGGTGCAGGACGGAGTTGGGACCCTTGTGCTTTAATGCTCCCTATGGTTGACTTTCTAAGGCAAGGGGAAAGAAAAACAAATAGAAAATAAGCCATTTTGAGTCTCTTAAGAACAATAAACAAGTCCAATACCATCGAGTTGGTTCGAACTCATATCATTCCCAGTATTGGGTTTCCAAGATTGTAAAGCTTTATGGGAGCAGACAGACTTATCTTCCTCCCTAAGCGGCTGGTAGGTTTGAACCGCTGACCTTGTGCTTAGTAATCTGACAGCTGACCCACAAAGCCACCAGGGCTCCTTATGGAGCCTCTAGCTGGAATCAGTTGAGCATCCGAGAGCAAGGGAGTTGTAAATTCTTTGTATCTTTAAAAAAGTACATAAATCTAAGAGGTGTCCTCAGAAATAAGTAGTTTCCTCAGAAACGTAGCTTCAGCTCCTTACCTTCCTGTTTTCTGAAAGGAAATACGTGTCATTTTAGGTGTTCAGTCATAAAGAGACTAGAGAGTTAGCAAAAGTCTCTTCCTCATGAATCTAACGAGTTGTTCCACTCGGTTCTATCAAAGAGAAGATTCTGGTGGTACATTCCAATCTGTTTTAATGCTTATTCAATAATAAAACTCGACTCTTGCTTCTGCTATTGGGGAGAGGCTTTCTGGGTTGGGAGTAGATTTTGATTTTAGCAACTTTTCCCCAATGTGACCTTCTCAAACTCTCCACCAAGGTTTGCCCCCCTACTCCCTGATTTCATCCTTATTGGCTCGGGGGAGATAAATTGGGGTTTTCAAATATAGGCCTCCTTACAAGATTCCTGCATCACATCTTCCTCAACTGATCCTGGTGGTGTGCATGGTGAAAACATTCAGCTTTTAACCTAAAGGTTGCAAGTTCGTGTCCACCCAGAGGTATGTTGAAAGAAAGGCCTGCAGATCTATTTCTGGAAAAGCAGTTATTGAAAACCCTGTGGAGCAGTTCCATGTGAGTCAGAATGGGCTGAAGGACACTGGGACTGGGGCTTTCTGAGTGTTGGCCCTGGGTAACTGCCTGACCATATGCCGTGAAGTTGGCCGTGCTGGACAATGGACTCACCCATCTCTCGACAGTGGCCTGGAAGGCTGGAACATGCTCTGTGGACATGCCTCAGTCCTCCTGCTAGCCTCTGGACCTCTAAAAGGAGGGCCGGTTCAGGACTGCAAGGAGTAAGACAGGGTCTGGAGACCTGGCCCCGCCCCCCCCTTCTCTTTGGCCTGACAAAGTCACTGATTTGAGGGGCTGCTGAGGAAGATGAGGACCTGGGAAGGAAGCCCTCCTCACCCCAGCCCAGGTGCAAGATGCCTCTATCCAAACAGCTGTCGCAACTCCAAAGGCTTGGAGAGCTCTGTGTTTTTCCTCGTCTATTTTTATTTCTTCAAATCTCAGACCAAGAGAGCCCAGTGCCAGAGTGCTGAAGGGGTCTGAGCCAAGAGGAACTGATCCACTGACAAAAGGGATAAAATCATCTGAAAGAGGTCACTGTGGGTGTCCTTGGACTGGAGAGATGGACCAAAACCTGAGTCTGGGCTGGATGTGGAGCTGGGCTGAGGAGCTGGTCCTACTGAACAAAGAGGCCTGCTGTAAAATGCAATTCCGTCTAAGGCAGGGTGGAGTTGCCATGGCCCACCCTGGAAGCACATTTTCCACGGGTGCCTGTGTGAACAGCACCCCCTGAAGGTGTGCAAGCCCATTCTGTGGACACCTAGACCACCCATCTGGACCTTAGTCTAAAAGGAAGGCTAGGAGGTTCTCTTCTCAGTGTGGTCTGGAGGATTGTGAGAGCGCAGGTTGGAAGCATTTTGTGTGTCTTAGGTCAGGCCCTGGTGGTGCAACAGGCTGATAACTGATAGCCGGTGGTTCAAGCCCACTGGCTGCTCCATGGGAGGAAGATAAGGCCGTCTGTTTCCCTAAAGAAACCTGATGAAGCAGATCTACTGTGTGCTACAGCATCAGGAATGGTCTGCCTAGAGTGGGTGCTCAGGAGCTTGTATGGTGTTTTGCAAAGATCAGAAAGGCTGTTGTGTCAAATGGGCATGTTTAAGAGGAGCTGAGCTGAGAGCTGAGCTAAGCTGAAAGCTGAGAGCTGAGAGCTGAGCTGAGAGCTGGGAGCTGAGCTGAGAGCTGAGAGCTGAGAGCTGGGAGCTGGGAGCTGAGCTGAGAGCTGAGAGCTGGGAGCTGGGAGCTGGGAGCTGAGAGCTGAGAGCTGAGCTGCCAAGTGGCTATGAATTTAGGGATTAGAAGTATTGACTGTGCACACAGTGAAAGTCACAACTCAAGTAGTTTAAAATGTTTGGTGGGTTGGGGGAATTCTTAGTGGGAGGACCCTTACATTCAACTGTTGTTGCCGTTAAGTGCCATGGAGTTGGTTCCGACTTACAGTGACCCTGCATCGAGTTTCTGAGGCTTAAAGTTGGTTCCGACTTACAGTGACCCTGTATCGAGTTTCTGAGGCTTTAAATCTCATCTTTCTCCTACAGAGTGGTTGGTGGGCTTGAACTGCTGACCCTGAGGTTTGCAGTCCAGTGCTTATCATATGGAGCCACCACAGTTGCTATTATTTCCTGTGTGCTTCTTGCATCCAGGTACTTTCATTGTACAGCTGACCTCTGACAACTACCACCCACCGTGTGCTTGTTGGTGTTAAGTGCGGTCAAGTCAGTTCCAACTCATAGTGACCCTGTATAGGTTTTCTGATGAGCAGGGCTGGTGGGTTTGAACTGCTGACCTTGAGTTTACCAGTCCAGCACTAATCCTACAGCAAAAGTTAGGAACTGTAAAAGGCCATGTTCTAAGGCAACCTACAAGATTTCCACCCCCCGATTTTCACATCCCAGATAATACCCTCCCATGAGAGAACATGAAGGGATCTTCAGCTATAATTAAGGCTCTGATCCTCCAAATGACTTTGAGTTAAAGGGGGAGGTCATGTTGGTGGGACTGATCTAATCAGGTGAGGAGATTTACTTGTCTTTGAAGAATGAACCTGGGCTACATGGGAAGGTCTCAAGAGCAGTCTCTTGGAACTGAGAACAACCTGTTGTTGGCAGCCAGGAAGAAGATGGAAACCCCCAGTCCTACAGCTTCAAGGAACTGAATTTAGTCTATAACCCAAGTGAGCTTGGGAGAAAACCCAGAGCTCTAAATAAGATTGAAGCTGTCGACATCTTGGTTTCAGACTTGTGCAATCTTGAGAACTCGACTATATTTACTCAGACTTCTGAATATATAGGTCAGTAAAGTATAACAAATAAGTGATGATTTAAACCACCAAGTTTGCGACTGTTATGTTGTTAAGTGCTGTTGAGTTGGTT